TGTTGGAATGACAAATGGAACATTACAAGTGTTGAAGTGGAAGGACAAGAGGGATGTTCTCATGTGTTCCTCTATCCACAATGCAGACCTCGTCGTCGTACCCGGCAGGAATGATAGAACAACAGGAGAACCAGTCCGCAAACCTCAGTGTATCCTGGACTACAACAAGCATATGGGTGCTGTTGACCGATATGATCAGATGATCGTATATCCAGCTTTCAAAAGGAGAACAATCAAATGGTGGAAGAAAGTGTTCTTTCACCTTCTGATGATGTCGGTGTTGAATGCCTACCTCCTGTATAAAGAACACTGTAAGAAATACTGTACAGCAGGAAATTAACTCGCGGAGTTAATATTCGCTATATTCGCGGAAAAAGAAATTACGCGAATTCAACATACAGTGAATAATTCTTTAAAAGATTTATAAGCCTTAGGATAAATTGAAATTTTATTATTATCTGTGATTTGATACATGTTGACTGTCTTTATAATTATGCGAGTGTATGGATCAATAACAAACACGTAGTTGTTTGTGTTTTTAAAGCTTATTAATTGTTCAATTTATTTCTAAAGCTAACGATTAATTTTTTTCCATCCAGAAGACGTGCCATGTAATTATTAAATAAAACATGCTTGTTTAATTTCATCCGGGCCGTGCGTATCATTCAGTCATTACCTTTAATCAAGGCACTTACCTAGTAAACGGGGTAACGACAATTAATTTCAATTATATGATTTAAAGTTCAATATTTTGACTACGGTATAATTTTTTTCTGATTTGGACCCAGAAATAAAAAAAAATCTGAAAGCGTAACATTATTTTGACTTTGAACAAATGGGGATCAGTCCGGTGTTTCGTTATTGGTTAATTCAATCGGGATCAAAATCAACACAATATACAGGCTTGACTTTTTTGTCTGATATGCGCAATAAACAGGTACAAACTTTCGTAAGATAGAGACAGGAAATATGAGTTTAAACAATAAATACTTAAAGAAAAGTACTTGCAAGTACTATTTAAGAAATTTATTATTTTTTCCTTTCCGCGAATTTAAACAACCGCGATTTGCTGAAAATTGAAGAAATAGCAATCTTTTCCGACCGCGATTTTAACCTGCTGTACAGTACCAGAGAAAGCCTGTACTTCACAGAGTATTCAGGCGGGAAGTTGTAAAGCAAATGATAGCCGAAACCAGTCCTCAGGCTGCAGTCTTACGGGGAGCTGTAAATCCCAGGGATATGGAGAGGCTTACAGCACGCCACTTCCTGACCAAAATAATTTAAATTGAGCTAAAGGAAGGACAGAAAAGCAAACCTCTGAGAACCTGCCCTGTTTGCTCCACGACAACCGGAAAGAGGAAGACAGTAGGGGATGGAAGGAAAACCGTTCGGTCATCTTATGAGGGTAAGGACTGTGATGTGGGCTTATGTGTTCATCCGTGCTTCAAAATCTACCACACAAACAAAGACTTCAAGCTCGGGTATCAACGCTGGACTGACCAAAACAGGGGAGAAAACGAGGAAAGTGATTAATTATAATTAATTAATTACAGTTTCATATAAGGACTTGTGAATTTAGTGAATAATTAATTTTTGTACATCATATCTAGCTTAACATTGTTTTATCTTCAGCTTTAATAATCATAATATTATGTTGGGCTAAAAAAATAATTATTTTCTGCTTAAAAATATATTAATTTATCAATTAATTTCAAAATATGAAAAAAAATCTCATTAAACTCTCTTTTCTTTGTTGATACCATTGTGTCTTTTTATTTTATATTATTTTTATTTAGATAATCAGGTTCTCCAATTATTCATGAATCTAAATTATATAGGGTTCTATTATGTAAGATAACTAGAAAGTGCTGAAAACAGCAGGATACAGAAGATAGCATCATTATGGCATTTTTCTCAAAACATGGCGGCAGTGAGTGAAGATGCTGATAACAAACAGCGAGGCACTGCATGCAGTGCTTATCAGTTGACTCACTGGCAGGACTAGGGTTAAAACAATAATTATACACACCCAAAACCTATTGTCCCTAAAATTTATCTTATTTTACTCAAAAAAATAAATAAATAAAACACACTTGTCTTTAAATTGGAGACGATGAAAATGAAAGTAATTCACTGATTCTTAGAAACTGGATAATTTTGTTACAGAAAGTAACAAAGTATGCTGCAAGTGAATCAACTTTTGTCAAATACTTTTTCAAAAGATAATTTTGCATTGGGATTCGTAGGTAAGCAGGTTGGGGGAGGGGGTATGTGTTTTATGTAATTATTATTATTTTAAGAAAATTTTGTAATGTTTGATTAGTAAAATCCATAAATTTCTAAGTCAAATAGTAGTCATTCTTTTCTTCCGAATTATCACTATTAGCTTCAACTTGGCCGCCGACAATAGTCGCCTCGATAGTTTGATACAGTCATGTTCTGATGTAGCATGTATATGGTCCGTGTTTTCGACGCGGCATATCAAACATGCATCATTCACAGAAATATCGTTTTATTACCGAATTATTTCTGTCAACCGAAAGCTGTTCCCAGCCTTTTCTTTTTAATTAATTTATCCTTAAACTGTACAATATGTGTCTGTGGACGCGACCGACTTCCAGCATATTCGTTACCGGATATTTAAAACGCTAAGTAAAAGTCAAACCAATATAGTTAAAAACTCTCATCTCGGAAAAAGGACGCGCGGTTCCGGTTTTACTATTCGTAAATGACGTAGTGCGAGTATAGACCTACTTTAAGAATGCTTCATATAAATAAGATCAATCATGGATTCTTGGAAAGAGATTTTTAAAACATACCACCAAATGTTTACTATTTCTGAATTACATCCCCTTGAATAAAGGCATGGCCCTATTTATGTACAAACTTGAAACCCTTTCACCAATGAATGCATTGTAGCAACTTTGATTGAAAATGGCCCAGCGTTTCTTAAGAAGAAGTCGAGAATGTTAAAAGTTGAAAAACAGCTTAACAGATGGATAAATAAAAATGTGATCAGAAAAGCTGAAGTCTCAAGTGAGCTAAAAATATATGATCTACAAGAATGATCTACGTTTTTCAGGTCAAACTAGAACTGTCCAATAGGGACAAATACCCCCGCTGGGTTTTTCAGAGTAGGTGCAAATTCACAAATATTTATGGATCTATTAAGAGGTGTTCACTAGAATCAAATTAATCTACATAAATTTATATCAAATTCATTTTAAAAAATAATAAAGTGCAGTCAGCCTCAGCATGATACTCCCATTAAATATTGTTCATTCAAGTATTACAAACAATTTAGAGTGCAAGAAAATCATGTCAACCTTTAAAGGGATTTGCATAATTTTTCCATTCCTTAAAATAATATTGTTTAAACATCTCCTTAGGTGCAAGCTTTAATTATTACAAATAATCATCAGCTGGTTGCATTATAGCTTGACAAATGCCCCTCCTCCACAAACATACACATATGCACATGTCTTTCATGTGGGATATGATGACCTGAAATTGGTCACTTGATATTTTCAAAAAAAAATATATATATCAATTTAATTAATATGTCTTAAAAACTTGATCTATACCAAATGATTTTAGAAATAGGAGACTGGCCATCAAATGACAAATTCTATTTAAACTGACCAGCAGTTCTTCTGTCTAATCCCCAAAGGACACAGATAATAGCTCCTTGATCAGAGATATGCTCCAGCAGAAATGATTGAGACAGCTTCAGCTTCCCTACATAGAACTCATTAATTAAACTTTGACTGGATGCATGCCCACTAATTGCTATCAAGGGATGAATGAATCTTAACCTTCTCCTTTGTAGTGCAAACAAGATGCATTATTGCATGTATCATTCTGAAATTAAATCTGAAAACAAAGATTTTTTATAAATTTGTTACAAAGATTTATACTGGAAAAAAAAAATGTGTAATCTTGATGCATCATTTTGAATAAGGTTCCTGCATGATTCTAAAGATTGGTAGGGACTATCTACCTAAATTTATTTTTTTTTAATACTTGATTTATTTGGATTTTATATCATACTAAAAGTTTCAATCCGAAATTAATGTGGAGAATGAGCATACTGATTCCAATCCCCCCCCCCACCCCACCCCCACATACACACACAATATACATTGTAATTAGTTTTAATTATATTATACAATATCAATTAAGTTTTTTATACAATTTCAAATTAGTTTATTATACAATAACAAATTAGATTGAAGTTGCTTTTTCTCAAATTCATTAAATTAGTTAGGCTAGTCACGTAAACTATAGGCTGATTCCTCAGCCCAGTTCCCAAGAGACAGATAACAAGTTCTTGATTAGAAATGTTCTTCAAGTAAGCTCCTTTACACTAAACTAATTAATTTCTCTCTAATTTGACATGCAATTTTCTGTTATCAAAATTCTCCTTGACCAGTGCTTCATAATTATACCCTTGGGAGAGGTAGATTTTCTCTTATAAAATAACATTTGTTATGGATTGCTGTAAAGTATATAATAAAAAAAATATTTTCTAAATTTAACATGTTTTAAATAGGGATACTGCAACATTCTTACATTTTTTTTGGGATTGTTTAATTGAATAGTATAAGTCAGTTATTTTTTTAAATTTCGCTTTAATTAAAGGTCACAGTGACCTTGAAATAGGTCATGACACACCTTCTACCCAAGATGCATAAATTGGCCAAGTTTGATGATTGTAAGTCTAATAGTATTCTAGTTATGAGCCAAACAAAACAACAAAATAAAAAAGAAAAAATGCCTGTAAAATGCTGAAAAATTATCCAATCATGATGACAATACCAGGTGCACACCTTCACATGGTGAATAATATGTGTACAAATTTTCAGACAAATCCATCCAATAGTTTCTGAGAAACGGTCCGGACAAAATCTTGTCTACAGACAGACGGACAGACGGACAGACGGACATGGTGATTCCAATATACCCCCCTAAACTTCGTTTGCGGGGGTATAATAAATTCATTACAACAAACCTCTATTTGTCCATTCCTTATAAATGGAGCCCTTCTGACAGCACACTTCTTCTCCAACCTTATCCTCAAACTTCTTCTCCATATTCAGAACCAGAATGAAGAATGCCCGTGGACTCAGAAAAATCTGGTGTGAGGCATAATATGAACATTGCCCCGCAAAGTCAGTCATGGTAATTTTTTTATCTGAATGGTCATCTGACAAGTCTTTGGATTCTATCTGTAAAGATCCAGATAGATCAGAACTGCTAGACAAAGTTTGACCTTCCTCAATGACCTCCCTGACATTTTCTGGTGACGAGGCTCGTTTTCCTTCATAAGATGAGGTAGATGGAATGTTAGAATCATCGAGTGATGCAGGTAGCTGACCACGATTCGGTGCTTCCGGAGAAACCTCCCCAACATCGACTGTTTGCACTTCATCAGGCATTTCTACATCCTCAGTGACTCCCACATCATGTTCAGAAACGCTTTTTTGTTGATTGGTTTCATCAAATGTAATTTTAAAGCGTTGCTGTTGCCTTGAAGAGTTCACTGCAAATGAAAATAGTTTTCAGAAATGATTTTAATTGTAAAGTAACAGTTTCCCACATTTCATTAAATAACGTAACTTAATTTCGGCGAAGGCAAAGTTGATGAAGGAAATATACATCACTTCTCTTGTTAAACATGAAATGTAAGTTTTTGTTATGTTTTATGCTTCAAGAGATGCTAAAAGGTGGAAAACAAGATATTTTACTTTTATATGTAAACATAATTAACTGACTGTGTATCTATTCAGAAATTGATAATTCTGATGGAATTTTCATGTAAATTTGTATATAAATCTACATATACTTTGATCTTAAGATTTAGTAATCAAGATAATTTAAATAGTATTTGTAAAGAACAAATTTAATTTATTGTACATAGGTAACACCATAAGTAAAGAATAAATTTCATCATGTTCATTGCATTTTGAGAAAGTTCAGTTCCATAAATTAGTGTGTCTATCTGTATAAATATATTCATGATTTGTAAAGAAACAGAGAGAGTGAGTGCAAAATGAAGCCGTTTTTTTCTCTTTCAAACCATGAGCACATGCTTGTCTATATATATCTCCTTTTAACACAACATTGCAAAAGCAAATATACAACTACATTGAATTGTTAAAAGAACAATAGACAGGCATGCGCCGAGCATGTATAAAGTCAATAAACAAGAGGCCCAGGGGTCACATCGCTCACCTGAGCAATTGGCTAGGAAAAGGCACACATCAGATCAGAACTGAAAGTCTAGTAAAGTGGGGAGGGGGGTGGGGGGGTTGGCTTGAATTTTAACTCCCCAGTGGGTCATGATTTGAACAAAACTTGAATCCACACTACCTAAGGATGATTCCCTATAAATATCACTAAGCATGGCTTTAAAGTACTATAAAAGAAGATTTTAAAAGGTTTCCCTAGAAATTCCTATGTAAAACTTTTCTCGGCCATTCAGCCCTACCCTACCCCCGGGGGTCATGATTTGAACAAATTTGAATCTACACTACCTGGGGATAATTTTACATGAATTTCATCTTTCCTGTCTCAATGGTTCTAGAGAAGAAGATTTTTCCTATATATTCCTAATTTTCCTATGTTAAATTTTGATCGGCCATTTTGGCCCCACCCTACCCCCTAGGGTCATGATTTGAACAAAGCTTTAATCTACACTACCTGAGGTTGATTTTTCAAAGGAGTTTCATCTTTCCTGGTCCAGTCGTTCTTGAGAGGAAGATTTTTAAAGATTTTTCCAATATATTCCTATTTAAAACTTTTATCGGCCATTTTGGCCCCACCCTACCCCTGGGGGTCATGATTTGAACAAACTTTCATCTACACTACATGAGGATTATTCCACATGAGTTTTATCTTTTCTGGCCCAGTGGTTCTTGAGAAGAAGATTTTTAAAGATTTTTTTTATCTATTCCTATGTATAACTTTGATCGGCCATTTTGGCCCCACCCTACCCCTGGGGGTCAAGATTCGAACAAACTTGAATCTACACTACCTGAGGATGATTCCACATGAGTTTCATCTTTCCTGGCCCAGTGGTTTTTGAGAAGATTTTTTTAAAATGCCATTATTTTTTCTCGAATTCATTATTATCTCCCCCTGGAAAAGGGTGTGGCCCTTCATCTGAACAAACTTGAATCCCCTTTACCCAAGGATACTTTGTAGCAAGTTTGGTTGAAATTGGCCCTGTGGTTCTTGAGAAGAAGATGAAAATGTGAAAAGTTTACAACAACGACAAAGACGCCAACGCCAACGACAAACAACGGACAAATTTTGATCAGAAAAGCTCACTTGAGCCTTAGGCTCAGGTGAGCTAAAAAGTGGCTATCCTCATGTGAAATGTTTAATTTTTTGAACCTAACGACATATATGTAATCCATTGAATGGGCGTCACATCCGAGAAATGGCCCTTCATCTGAACAAACTTGAATCCCCTTTACCCAAGGATACTTTGTAGCAAGTTTGGTTGAAATTGGCCCTGTGGTTCTTGAGAAGAAGATGAAAATGTGAAAAGTTTACAACAACGACAAAGACGCCAACGCCAACGACAAACAACGGACAAATTTTGATCAGAAAAGCTCACTTGAGCCTTAGGCTCAGGTGAGCTAAAAAGTGGCTATCCTCATGTGAAATGTTTAATTTTTTGAACCTAACGACATATATGTAATCCATTGAATGGGCGTCAACCCTGTATGACGTAACTTAAGAAATAAGATATCATTTTAAGAGTTTCATTTGGATGTGACATGAAGTCGGTCAGGTGATCAATGTCTATAATGCCCAAAGGGCGTTCTAGTAGAATTGATGAAGTACCGACTTCATGACACATCCCAATGAAACTCTAAAAATGATATTTTATTTCTTATATTTGTATTTTACTTTTATTCGTGTTACAAAGCAAAATAGGTGCTATTTGGACATTGTTATTGAAATGCAACATAACGTAACTATGGCGTCGTATGACGTCAAAGTCAAGACTTTCTAATGGTCTCATGCAATTTTCCCAACTGCAGGTCATTGAAAATTGAATGTCAAAATAATTTATATTGTCAAATAATAAAAGACATTACCAAATGTAAATATTGAGAAATTACATATGACATACGAGGAACCTGTAATTATACGGTTGTCAGCTATGTTAGGGAAAGTCAGAGTTCAAATTCGTTGATAAATTGTACAATCTATCACTTCTATTAGAAGCCTCCAACTCTATTAGTATCATAAGACCCAAAATGCATCAACTTACAAAGTTTGATAATATTTAGCCAGTTAAGACTGAAGAAATTATAATATAGAACTTTATAAAATACCATAAGTAGGTCACAGTGACCTACCTTTTGATTAAAATTTTCTGATGACTCAAGATATATTAAATGACAAAGACTGATGAATCTAATTAAATAAGTACCTGAGATATTCAAAAGTAGGTTATCATGACCTACATTATGTCAACATTCTCTGAAAACCCAAGATGCATCATCTGACAAAGTCTGCAATTCTAAGCCAATTAGTACCAGAGATAATTAAATATAGCCATCAAATGTCAAAAGTAGGTCATGGTGACCTACTTTTTGGACGATGTTATCCAAAAACCCAAGATGCCTAAACTGACAAAATTTTATGATTTTAAGCCAATAAGTACCTGTGATATTCAAAAGTAGGTCACCGTGACCTACATCTTGCTGGACATTCAATGAAACCAAGCCAATAAGTACCAGATATAATTAAATATAGCCATAAAATGTCAAAAGTAGGTCACAGTGACCTACTTTTTGGTCAACGTTCTCCGAAAACCCAAGGGGCCTAAACTGACAAAGTTTGATGATTCTAAGCTTATACATGTACGTAACTGAGACATTCAAAAGTAGGTCACCGTGATCTACTTTTTGGTCTACATTCTCCGAAAACGCAAGATGCCTCAACTGATAAAGTTTGATAATTCATAGCCAATAAGTGCCTGAGATACTTAAATATAGCCACAAATGTCAAAAGTAGGCCACGGTGACCTACTTTTTGGTCGATAATCTTCGAAAACCCAAGATGCATCAACTGACAAAGTTTAATGATTTAAGGTCAATAAGTACCAGAGATATTTAATTATAGCCAAAAAATGTCAAAACTAGGTAACCATGACCTTATTTTTGGTCATCACTCTCCAAAAACCCATGATGCATTAACTCAAAGTTTGATGATTCTAAGCCAATAAGTACCAGAGACACATAAATAAAACCATAAAACATCAAAAGTAGGTCACCGTGACCTACTTTTTGGTTGTACCTCTCTGAATACCAAATATGCACCTACTCACAAAGTTTGATTATATATCTAAGCCAATAAATACCTAAGATACTTAAATATAGCCATAAAATGTCAAAAGTAGGTCACCGTGACCTACAATTTGGTCAACAATTTTCCAAAGACCCAAGATGCAACTGACAAAGTTTGATGATCATAGGTCTGAAGGTAATCAAAATATGCGTTTTAAACTATTTGAAAACAATTGTTGGCAAATTCAAAAAGTAGGTCACAGAGACCTACTTTTACATAAATATTTTTTTAAGGTCCCAAGATGCATCAACTTACAAGATTTGATGATTCTAAACCTCCCAGTGTCTGAAATGATGGGATTTAATGTTTTTAAAAGGATAAGTCATAAAGTTCAAAAGTAGGTCACAGTGACCTATTTTTAAGCTGACATTGTTTGAAGACCCAAGATGCATCAACTGACAAAGTTTGATGATCATAGGCCTTAAAGTGTCCAAAATATGCCTCCAAATTAATTTGAAAATGAAAGCCCGTAATTTTTTTTTTAAAGTAGGTCACCTTGACCTACTTCTGTGTTACCATGATGTGAAGTCCTAAGATGCATCAACTTACAAGATTTGATGATCCTAGTCTTTATAGTAGGCAAAATATACATGTTTTAATTAATTATAAATTTTGGTCAAATTTGAAGTGACCTTGAAATCACACCCTTAGCCCCAGGGTAATTCCCCATGCAAATTTTATCTTCGACATATCCTGATACTTGTATGTAAGTTTGGTGAAAATCCGCCTAGTGGTTATGGAGAAGAAGATTTTTTAGCAAACATTAGTTTTGGTTGTTTTCCTAATTATCTCCCCTTGTTTAAGTGTCCCAATCCTTATTTTAGTATAAATGGTAGCCCTTGGGCCAAGGATACCCTGTGACAAATTTGGTACTGATTGGCCAAGGGGTTTTTGAGTTATGGCCCATATTCTAAAAAGTTCTCCGAAAACCCAAGGGGCCTAAACTGACAAAGTTTGACAAAGTTTGATGATTCTAAGCTTCCACACAAATGGCCATATTAAGCCTTTGGCTCAGAAGAGCTAACAACTTAGATTTATTTATTTTATCAATTATTTATAAAATCTTTTAAAGAATGGGTGGACTTAACGCCCTATTTTGGATCTCTTTTGTGACTCCTATTACAATCTGTAAATGAAGTGAATCCAAAATAAATTATGTGCAATTAAAAGAGCAACATATACTTGGTTATATTAGGTGGTACATTTGTGCCAAAACAATGCCCTGTTGTCGTGTATCAAAATTGATGCAACGATACATGAGTGTCGTCTTCCGGAAATCGACTTGTACCCGGAGTGGTTTTTATGTCACACAATCAATATTTATAGGAGGCTGGGCTATCGATCGGTGTCATTGTTGACATCTCTCTCTCTATCACTCTTTCTTTCCGAAAATTCGAATACGTGTATAGCATTTTACAGCGATGTCAATATGAAATTCTTTTGAAAATGTGATGACACGCAAAATAAATACAATATTTAATTTGCTAAACTCTGAGAACGGCAATAAAACACGCTCAAAGATGCAGTACATGTAATCCTGAGTACTAGATTCACTGGTTTAATAATTACAAAAGTGCCTAAATAAATACTAGAACTGTCCAAAATGGACAAAATAACCCCCACTGGGTTTCTCAGAAGTAAGTTTTTCCTTAATAAAGATATGTATCAAACATGAATTATGAAATTTTTCTTCCAGTGACCTTAAACTTAACCAAATGACCTAGGGTCAAGGTCATGACACACCCTTATAATTAGGTCATGGGCAATCTTTGTGTGAAATGAGAACCTACCAAGTTTATCCATAAGAAGAAAATGGACCGGACACGAATTATGAATTTTTTTTTCCAGTGACCTTGAAATTCTCCAAATGATCTTGAGTCAAGGTCAAGACACACCCTTGGGTCATGGGCAATCTTTGTGAGAAATGAAAACTTACCAAGTTTATCCATAAGAAAGATATGGACCAGACACAAATTATGAATTTTATTTCCAGTGACCTTGAACTTCTCCAAATCACCTTGGGTCAAGATCATGCCACACTCTTAGGTCATGGGCAATCTTTGTGTGAAATGAGAACCTACCAAGTTTATCCATAAGAAAGATGTGGACCGAACCTGAATTATGAATTTTTTCTACCAGTGACCTTGAACTTTCCCAAATGACCTTAGGTCAAGGAGATGACACACCCTTGAGGCATTAGCAATCCTTGTGTGAAATCAGAACCTACCAAGTTTATCCATAAGAAAGATATGGACCAGACACAAATTATGAAATTTTTCTTCCAGTGACCTTGAACTTCCAAAAACGACCTTGGATCAAGGTCATGACACACCCATGGATCATGGGCAATTTTTGTGTGAAAGGAGAACCTACCAAGTTTATCCATAAGAATGATATGGACCAGACACAAATTATGCAATTTTTCTTTCAGTGACCTAGAACTTCCCCAAATGACCTTGGGTTAAGGTCATAACACACCCTTAGGTCATGGGCAATCTTTATGTGAAATGAGAACCTACCAAGTTAATCCATAAGAAAGATATGGACCGGACACAAATTATAAATTTTTCTTCCAGTGACCTTGAAGTTCCCCAAATGACCTTGGGTCAAGGTCATGACACACCCTTAGGTCATTGGCAATCTTTGTATGGAGTAGTAGATTCTAATGTCCCTCTGTAAGAAAGATAAGGAGCGGACACGATTGCACAGACAGACAAACAGACAGACAGACAGTTAGACAGACGGAAAAGGTGATTCTTTTATACCCCCCAAATTTCGTTTGTAGGGGGTATAATAATGTCATCGCTATTATTAAAAAATAATCATTAAATCTAAAACAATATAATTTATTAAATACAATTTGTATAGAAAATGAATTTATCTAGTAGCATTGAAGCTATAAAGGGACAAGGAATGTTGAGAATATTGCTAGGGTGATAAGCGTATTCATGATATAAATCAAAAGTGCAGGGGCATAGACATTTTTGTTTGAGCTGAAATATGGATTATTTATTGCTTAAACAATGTATATTTTGAAAAAAGCTGGGAGCTAATCCTGGTATGCATAACATTAGTTTTATTCATAATAGATTTTAAGCGAAGTGGGAATTTTTAGCTATGATACACATTTTCGGCAAGGTTTCCAGTACTTCACAAACACCTCAGATTAGCTCCCAGCACTTTTTGGAGATTCCCCCCCAAACTTCAAACACAGACTAGCTCCCAATACTTTTTGGGTTGAGGAAATAAACATCTTTAAACATGTATCAATTTTTTTCTTAAAAAAATAAGCGTATGCCCTTGCACTATCCTCATTTCCTTCATTCAGCTTAACAATTCTATTTATACATTAGTCATGTGACAAACAGCTGACACATTTACATGCGATATAATTAGTACTGTGTAAGGCTTAGTCCTGTCCACTTTGGATAACTATATTACATTTTCTACGGGTATTCAATAGCTTTGTTACAATTATTTAAAAGAGGTAATGTATATTAAAACGGTGCTAAGGTCACATTTTAACATAGCCGCTTGATAGATATGCATTGATTTCAGTAGTGCTATGTAAAGGAAGACATTTGCAAAATTAATGTAAAAATAATTATATTGAATAAAGCATACCTTGGATGCTATCTGTCACATCAAAGACATCTGTGTGGATATCAACTCCTCTCGTTGAACTGATGTTTTTCTTTATTTCTTCCAGGTCAATGCCCTTCAGTCTCTCTAACAGTGTTGTTTTACCACTACCAGCACACCCTATTATCATTCCAGAGGCATGGTACATGGTTGTCTTCCCTTTCTTTAAATTCTCAATGAAATTCTTCACAGATTTATCTCCCCTTAAGATGATCTGCATTGGTATTCCAACTGTAATGACGATATACTAGTAAAACAGAGCTTAGCTGCACATTTGTAGCGTTACGGTTTTATATACATGTATTTGTCTTTGACCATAATGCTACTGATCCCCTAATGCAAAAAAAGGTGCAATTTACGGCAAACCCTTGGGTCATGGGCAGTCTTTGTGTGAAATGAGAACCTACCAAATTTATCCATAAGAAAGATATGGACCAGACACAAATCATGAAATTTTACTTTGTGACCTTGAACTTCCCCAAATGACCTTGGGTCAAGGTCATGACAAACCCTTGGGTCATGGGCAATCTTTTTGTGAAATGAGAATCTATCAAGTTTATCCATAAGGAAGATATGGACCGGACACGAATCATGAAATTTTTCTTCCAGTGACTATGAACTTCTCAAAATGACCTTGGTGCAAGGTCATGATACACCCTTAGGTCATGGGCAGTCTTTGTGTGAAATGAGAACCTACCAAGTTTATCCATCAGAAAGATATGGACCAGACACGAATCATGAAATTTTTCTTCCAGTGACCTTGAAGTTCCCCAAATCACCTTGTGTCAAGGTCATGACACACCCTTAGGTCATGGGCAATCTTAGTGTGAAATGGGAACTTACCAAGTTTATCCATAAGACAGATATGGACCAGACACGAATAATGAAATTCTTCTTTCAGCGTCCTTGAACTTCTCTAAATGACCTTGGGTCAAGGTCATGACACACCCTTAGGTCATAAGCAAACTTTGGCTGAAGTAGTAGATTGTAATACAGTGGACCTTCAGATATCTGGACGCCAGATATCCGGATGCTTCAGTATCCGGACGCTTTTTTATCGGAACAGAATTTTTTTAATGTTATTTTATCTTATTTAACTGGTGATTCAGATATCCGTATGCTTCATATATCCGGACAAATTGACTGGGAACCAAAGCGTCCGGATAAATGAGGCTCCACTGTATTCCTCTGGAAGAAAAATATGGACCGGACATGTTTGCACAGACAGCTAGACAGACAGCTAGACAGACAGACAAGGTGATTCCTATATACCCCCCCCCCCCAAACTTTGTTTGCTTGGGGTATAAATAAGATCTAAAAGCCTTTATACATAGTTATAGATGAAATCACAGATAAATACATGAAATTCATTTACTTCTTATGTTAAATTTTATCCGAGAAACCGGCTGAAAATAGACTTACCTTTCTTAAATACAACTTCACGAAATGACTGGTCCTCCATTGTTGGGTGCGTGAAAATATCTTCTCCAAGACGTTTTAAAAATTCCTCATTTTTATCTGGTAGTAACCAACAGCAAACCTCGTCTTCTCTTCTCCGATAATTCCACGATCTACAGTACTCAGCTACATTTTCTTTTTCTGCCCCAGTCAAGAAAATTTCAGTGAAGTCAGACTTCTTTGAGAATTTCAGGAAACTGATATTTTTGAAGAGCTCACTGGAATAACTGATCTCTGATTCATTGAGTTTCAGGATTGGTTCATATTTTTCGAAACCTTTATGAGCAAATGGCTTTGAGATTTCCTTCAAACGAAAACTTTTGGCAACAGAATTATATTTTGTCATCCAGTTTTCGTCTTTCATGTTTATTTTGTAAGAATTGGAAAGAAGAAGGCACATCAAAAGTTTATACCCATCTACAAATAAACAAGAAATATATACAGATAATTGAATGATTAAATGTATGTTGTATTACGTCCCATTCGAGAATATTTCACTCAATTAGATACGTCACCATATACCGATGAAATTCTTCAAATGTTGACCTTAACTCGGCACTTAGGGTCATTGAGCAGTGAGGGTTCTTTATTGTGCCGAAGCCTGCCGCTGACAAGGGACCTCGGTTTAAAAAGTCTCATCCGAAGGACCTGTAACTTTCACTTCATGTGCCGAGCGCATGGCAAAGGAACTTTTACTACCCATTTTTATCGACTTACTAGGTCAGTCGCAGTCGAGATTCGAACTCCCGATCACAGGAGTTTAACCATAATAAATTTTGGTTTGGACATAATCGTACAGACATAAATGAACAGCTACATAGACAAATAACAAAGTGATCTCCATATACCTCCTTAATGTTTGTTACAGACAAACCTATAGACAATGAGGCAGATAATTAAATGGATGGGCCTACAATCGCTGATCAGATTACTCATTTGGTGTTTGGCTCAGGCCATGAAAGGTCATAGTAATAAATATTTTATTTGATAATTAAAGCAGAATGAAAGTCATTCTTTAAAATATATTTCATTTACTACATGTTTCAAATTCTAAAACAGCTTCAAACTCATACCTTCTATTTCGTGAATGTTGTCAAACAATGTCTCTATATTTCTAAGCTCATGTCTGCTGTGATCCTCAGAGCTGGTACACTCCACACACAAGGGAACACCACACGGGGTACAGAACTGGTCCAGGGGAATTCTGGGATGTTTCTTACATTTGATGTTCTCCAGAGGGACTCCTGTAAGAAATAGAAGTTTCATATTGTAAATAATTATTCAATGCTGATAAATCTTCTCAAAACAAATTCATTTTGTTAATGTTTTTTAAAATATAACAAATTTATTAATTATTATGATATTGATTATTGAAGTATATTGGAGTAGAAAATTTTTTGAATAGAGTCCAGACAATCTATATATAACATGTATTTAAATTTATTAGAAAATATATATGTGATATATGCCAAGATATACAGAGGAAGAACTTTTTGTCAATGGTGGTGATGAAAGGTCACAGTGACTATAATCTATTCTATGATATAAAATGATTATGTAATTGTATGGGAATTTATTGATTCCAATAATTGACATACATAAGATACATTACAAACAACATGAACAATATGAAAATATGATTAATTATTAAATGTCATATAAAATGCTATCAATATTAGAATTATGCATATCAAATACATGTTAAAGGTATAATTTCCTAGGCACTCTTTGAGTATGACTATAAATTGATTTTCTATGACTTGCCAACATAACTTCGGGTCACGTAACACCTTAGATTAAATGATAATCTTTTTAATCATCACATAGATGACCAATCAATGTTAAATTGCTTCAATAAAACATTCATGGCCAATGTACTTTGAATTAAAAATGCACTTTAACAAAGTACTGATGACCTTAGCCAAACTCACATGACCTATAAGAGTTAAATAATATTCCACAATTTGGTATGCAACCTTTGTGTCAAGGAAGATTTCCTCACACAACTCAAATGAAATTAACAAGGACACCCCCTTTCCCAATAAAAAACACAAAACAGTGACACACACAATTTTCAGGGTGGGTCAGGGGTGTACCGTAAATATAAAATAAATTTTAATGCATAAATCCAATTATTTGCTCATAAATAGTGTGTATGCAGTCTTCATGTTCAGTCATTTAAGTTCAATAAGTTCGTTTAGGTTCACAATAATGAATAACATAACTTGAACAAGAACAATCATACCATACATTACCCCCCCCCCCCAATCACCATACATTACCCCCCCCCCCCTCCAATCCAAAACCCATACCCCCAGCCTACCTCCAGCCCCCCAAGTATCAATATATGTAAACCACAGAAATCAACCCTACATATTTCTGTCAGTGACCTTCAATGCTTGTATAACAGTGTACATATAAGTGCATTATCAGTTAGGGGCTTTCAGTCTCTTAAATTCATGTTATTGGGATACATATGGTTATAAATGAACAGAATAAATCTAATGATAAATATATATAAATACAATTATTTCCTTCTTCACCATATCTTGTAATTACATTTGATACAGGCAGTAATAATAAAATTATATATTCTAGTTTTATGGGCAAACTATTTTAAAACAAGACATTAGGCTGATTTTTTTTCCAGGAATTATTTTTTACACCTTTATTATGAAATGCCTTAATGGAAGGTAACTTAATTTTTTTCTTCACCTTCAAATACAAAATTGGATTGTCTCCCTTTCATAAGCAAGTTACTAAAATTGATCACTGTAGTTTCATTTAGGCTAATTCTTTGGTGTCTTAGAATTTAACTTTTTGTTCATAAAGTTGAAGTGAATCTTTAACTTCATTATGAATTTTAATCTTCAATACTGTTCAGTTATCTCTATATTTCATCTAGATGTTTCTCCTACACAAAATGTCAACCCAGTACACAGTGTAGATTTACTGAACACCTGCTACAGAAATACACAAAATGTCAAGTCAGTACACAGTGTAGATTTACTGAACACCTGCTACAGAAATACACAAAATGTCAACCCAGTACACAGTGTAGATTTACTGAACACCTGCTACAGAAATACACAAAATGTCAACCCAGTAAACAGTGTAGATTTACTGAACACCTGCTACAGAAATACACAACAATTGAACATTCTTAGAGACAGCTGTGTTAATATCACTGGTGTCTATATCTACATGTAACTGTCAACATCAACACAAAATCTCATCTGTTTTGAATGTAGAATTTACTTAAACTGAATACATTATAAAAGAATATTGTAATAATTATAAAATATTTTAAAATTTAATCACTAACTACTTCTCAAAAGTTTATCATATTACATTAATTGTATTTATCGAACAAAAGAACTCAAGATTTCAAAAGTTGGTAATTATACCCCCATTGACCTGTTGACAGTAATCAGTATATTGTACAAAAATCCATGAACCAAACTTCAATGTACATTATATGAATCATTGATTGAAGAGTTACACACAACACCTGAACACTATACAATTAATTACAAACTGGATGTAAATCTATCATTTCTTTTTAATTGTGTCTTTTTATCATGTTTATCGTCATAAACATTATCTTTAACATCTAATGTTTGTTGTTAACACAGTGAGGGATTAAACTAAAACACTGGTAAATAAGCACTTGAATATATATATGTACTAGTACAGTTACTAGTTATTCTTAAATAACCCCCCTCACATAATGGAGTTATTAATTAGTATAGATGTTATAATTATAAAATACAATAAAACAAACTACAATGTTACTTACCAGTCAGAGAGTCTGTATCTACCACTCTGTATATGTTGACTGTGTTGTTGTACTCTGACCCTACCCACAGTAGGTGAGTTTTATCATCGTAACTCAGGCCCCATGGTTCGTTTATCCCGTGTTGTCGTGTCTGTATCTCTGTCAGATAGTGACCCTCACTGTCTAACATCTGTACTGACTCGGTGATCCAATCACACACCAGGATGTGTGACAGCGCGTCAGTACAGATTCCACATGGTAATAGTCGTGATCCTGATGGAGGACCTGTGTAGGAGAATCGGTAATTACCGTCACGATCTGTCACCACTACACGGAGATAGTCAGTCACAATAACATCTCCATTGCGGTTCTCTGTGATGTAGAGAGGTTGTATATACAGTCCCTGACCTGTGATGTTGTCGTGCTGTATGGTCTGGATGTTTTCTCCTGTGGAGTTATACCTCACTACCTTGCCTTCTCTCCCTGTATCAGTATATCTATACATCCCGACCAGCAGGTCTCCAGTGGAGGGGGAGCTGTAGACACACCGTGGTATCCATGGTGACGTGTTGTACTGTATTATCGTAGTCTTTTCTCTGTTCTCTGTAGACAGTTTATTGATGTTTAATTCACTGTCTATATAAATTAGATCACCATAAGAATCCACAGTGTGTCCTCCCACATCACTACCTCTATCTGTCACGTGATCTAGTACTTCCCCTTTAGTGTTTGTCAGTATAAGATTGCCTTGTCTATCACTGATCCAGACCCGGTCTGATGTGAGATGTGAAATGTGATCACCACGACTAACACCAGACACGGTGACAGATTTCTGGTACACTAATCTATACATTATTTACAGCAGACATCTATTTCTTTATCCTAATGTTTTATAACAGAGTCCCGTGTGGATTTCCTCAGTCAGGGAGATCTCTCTGTAAATTACAACATTGTAACAGAATTATCTACATCAGTTACAGATCTCTCTTTATATTGTAAGCATTTATCAATGTCTTAGGTTTAATAACATGAATATTGAATTAAGATACAGATAAACATAAATACCTTTACACTGGGTACTGAATCCTTTACAATTCTCCCTCTTTTGCAGGGTCCAACTGTTCACCATTAGTCCGATCTAAATAATCAATATTGATAAATTGAAACATTCTTGAAAACTGATTAAGGTTTTGACTTCTTAGAAAAGTATAATATGAACTCATTTGAAATATTACATGTCAACTTTTCCAGTAGGATTCAACAACTTCACAGCACACTCAAACATTATAATTTATATTTTCTTTCTACAGTGTGTTGTGACATGGTTATAAATAGTAACAGAGAATTGTATACCATTACCACACTGATTTCTTGTATCTGGAAAAAACTGTATAGTCTCCATTCATCTTGTTACTGCATTCTAGGTAAAGAAAATAAAGAATATATTATTATTCACCATTATTACAAAACATACATCTCTCCAGTTTATTTATTTAAATAAGAGAAAATTGTATCTTCATTTTGAAATTACAAAATTCGAATGAGAGCTTTTATAAGGATTGATTGTTTGGTTTTAGTAATATTTATTTAAAACATGTAAAAATTGCATACTGCATATGTACATCTATAAATATACTGCATGTACATACAGTGCTGTACATGTATATGTAGAACATGTGTAGTATTCTGTATGAGTGTTATAGTTTTTCCCCCACATAAACATGGGCATAGGAAGCAAATTGAAAGTGAAGGGGGGGGGGGGGGGGGGGGGGGGGGGCGTAACCCAACAAAAAAGGTAAATCCCAACTCTCAATGCCTATAAAATGTCTACTTTTGCAAAAAACATAGGAAGAGGGGGGACTCCCCACCCCCCTCCGATTCCGACGCCTATGCATATTATATATTGTTAGTATCTCCAATCATTCATAAACATTTTACAGTGATTAAAAATTTGACTTCAGTCTAAATCTGTCTCATGAATCTGGAACCAGAACCCCTTACCCAGGGACAAGGAAATTCACAATTTTGGAAGAGCCATATTTTTTTTAATCATTTAAGTATTTTTAAGGGATGGCAATCAAATGCAGAATTCCTAATCGATTAATCTTTTGAAAAACGCTGATTTTCAACCCTATGTGCAGCGATTTCATTTTTTAAAGTAAATTTAAAGAAAATTTTGTTCAATTTTATTTTTTCCGACAAACCAATTACAAATTTTATAACTTATTTCCATCATTCAGACCAAATAATTGGTTAACCTGTTTCAAATTGCCATCGCTAGTATGTATGTAGTAATTGGTTTGTTTGATACCCAGGGGCAGAGAAAAAAGATTTGCAAAGAAGTTATGCATTTTCACTATATACAACTGTAATAAATATAACAAAACCCTAACACCAGAATTCCTCATTCTGGGACCATGAAATTCAAAATTTTATACATGTTATAAAAGACACCTTTCATCATTGTAAATACATGTATGTACGTAGTTTGTTTAACACCCAGGGACAGAGAAAACAGATTTTGAAAGAATTAATACATTTTCATTATATAATCAAAAGAGCCCTGCCCTAACACCAGAACCCCTGACCCAGGGGCCATGAGTTTCAAAATTTTGGTACAGTCTTCGAAATTATGCGGTAGCCCGATGACCGAGGCTAGTAAAATCGGGATCGGGCTACCAAAAATTATTAACGCGCATGCCCGATGGGCTAGTTAGTAAATTTCCGGTGGCGAATTTTAAGTATGATTCCTTTTATAAAATATCAAGAAGGCTTTCCCAGGTCAGTGATTCACGAACAGGAGGGCTCTTCCAGAAGAAGTAAAAGTTGTTTCACAAAATGAAGTACGTGGAATCATAGCTTTAGCGAAATTGGCTGGAAATCTGACCATGGACTGAATACACCGGTACTACGAATCACCGAAATGCCCCTTGGAATCACCGAAATACCCCTTATTTTCTCATAAGTAAATAAAAGAGTAATAAATATATGATATCAACTGTTCTAAAACCTAGATACATACATTTTCATAATCTTACTGTAAGTATTTTTAATTTATTTAAAGATGTGTGCATGTCACACTGTTGACTGATGCAGCAAAGTGTTTAAAACAATTACCATCATTACTCGTGGTTTTGAACGTTTAGTGATCAAATTGAATTAAATCAGAAATGCAAATGTGATTGCACATTTTTTCATTTGTTATTACTCTTGAGTTGGGCTAGTAAAATTTTGTTTGGGCTACCAAATTTTATACTTTCACTTGTAGTCAAAAAAGTTAAGCGCAAAGACTGTTGGTAGACTGAATTTTTATTACAATCATGCAAAAAGTTTGACTGCTTGAGGGCTATGATTAAAGGAGAAGATTTTTCTAGATTGAATTAATATTAGTAGTTTTGGCCCCACCCCTCAGGTTCCGGGGGGCGGGGGCATGGAATTCACAATTTTTGTTACCCTTCACTCATAAATTATGCTATATGCAAAATTTGGCTGAAATTGGTTCAATGGTTCCAGAGAAGCTAAAAATGTTCATATGATCATAAGATTACACTCAACAAACGACATACGACAATGGACAAAAACAAATAGCAATAGGTCACCTGAGTTACTCGTGTGAGGAGGGGGGCATAAAACTTAGATGAGCTCACTTTTGATCTCAGTCTCACTTTTCAACTAAATATTCTTTTAGTAAGAGTGAGATTCACTGAGATCAAAAGAGAAGTTGTCTAAGTTTTATGACCCCCATGGTCTGGTGATAAGACAAGAGGCCCATGGGCCACATCGCTCACCTGAGAAGCTTTGACCATGTTATTCTTAACCCGAATTCCCCCTTAGTTCTTGATAAGAAGATTTTGAAAGATTTTTCTTATATATTTCTATGTAAAACTTTGATTCTCTACTGTGGCCCGCCCAACCCCCGGGGGGTCATGATTTGAACAATTTAGAATTTATACTACCCCTGGATGCGTCCACATAAGTTTCAGCTTTTCTTGCCCAGTCAGTGGTTCTTGAGAAGAAGATTTTGAAAGATTTTTCCTAGATATTTCTGTGTAAGACATTGATTCCCTATTGTGGCCCTGCCCAACCTCCAGGGGTCATCATTTGATTAATTTCAAATCTACACTTCACCAGGACGCTTCCACATAAGTTTCAGTTTTTCTGGCCCTGTAGTTCTTTAGAAGGAAATTTTGAGAAAGATTTTTTCTATATATTTCTATGTAAAACTTTGATTCTCTATTGTGGCCCGCCCAAACCCTGGGGGTCATGATTTAAAAAATTTAGAGTCTACACTACCCCAGGATGCTTCCCCATAAGTTTCAGCTTTTCTGGACCTGTGGTTCTTGACAAAAAGATTTTGAAAGATTTTTCCTATACATTTCTATGTAAACTTTGATTCCCAATTGTGGCCCCGCCCAAACCCCGGGGGTCATGATTTGAACAATTTACAATCTATACTACTCCAGGATGCTTCCAAATAAGTTTCAACTTTTCTGGCCCAGTGGTTCATGAGAAGATTTTTAATGACCCGAGCCTATCTTTGTCTCTTTTTGATTATCTCCCCTTGGCCCAGCGGTTCTTGAGAAGTTGAAAATGTAAAAGTTTACAGACGGACAGTAGACGGACGGATGGATAACAGACAAAATATGATTAGAACTCACAGAGTTTTAAGCTCAGGTGAGATGAAATGTGTCAAGTTTACAGAAAGGCAGACAGAGAGCATACAGACTATTATCAGAAAAGTTCATGCTCAGGTGAGCTACAATATGTAAAATTATAGACAGACAGAATACAAAATGTGATCAGAAAATCTCACTTAAAATCAGGTTAGCTAAAAATGTTATGAGCAGAAAAGTTCAATATTTTGTAGTTGCATATTGAGTTCATTTTACTCCTGATATTGAGATAATTTTTTTTCTTTTTTTCCCCTCATACTTCACATTCATGAAAAATATAAAAAAAAAGTTCTTCCCACTTGTGAAATATATCTATCTTTTACATTCAACTAAAAACTTTTAATATTTTTTAGTTAAAAGAGATATAAAAACCTGTAAGGAGATGATGCTTCCCTTTCCCTGACAATGGTTGGATATAGTGCACACTGGGGAATCTGTCAAAATAAATTAAGACTATTACATGTAACCTAAATATATATAAATAATGAGTCCCTTAGCTTGTAAAAAACCAGAAGTGTTTAAGTTCAAATAATGCTTTCTAAAGATATGTTTATACATACATGCATACAAAACTTGAAGTATATATGTATATGAATACAAGTACAATGTAAATTAATGTTTACAATTGACAAGGGTCAATAAATATACATGTACCCTTGTGAGAGATTTAAAAAGAAACCTGTAAGGAGATGATTCTTTCCTCTTCTAGACAATTGGATAGTAGGATTCTGGGAAATCTGTCAAAATAAATTGAGACAATTAACCTATATATAAATAATGAAGCCATGAGCTTGTGAAACACTACAAGGCCAAAAGAAAAAATAGTCTTGTTTCCTGCTACCCAACCTACCCATTTTTTTTTTTTAACTTTTGGGGAAAAAATTGAAATTGCAGGAATTCTATGTTAAAGTGAAAAAAAAATATATTTGAATTGTATTTCATGACATATATGTTTAAAATATGGACTTTCAGTAAATTCCGTCTTGAGTTGTCGTGCATCTCTACTTAATTGGAACTGCTACAGTGCTACCCAACCTACCCAATATTTTTGCTCCACTACCTTAAGTTTTTTTAGCTTTTGGGGAAAAAAATTGAAATTGCAGGAATTCTATGTTAAAGTGAAAAAAAATGTATATATTCGAAATTGTATTTCATGCCATACCGTATATCCATTTTTTTCGCGATGATCTATTTTTCGCATTTTTGTGACCATTTTTAATTCGCAAAAAATAAAAAGCGCAGAAATTATATCCATTTCATTAAATTTCATTTCATTAAATTCCTTTTGGTAATGAAGATTTATAAAGTAAAGGTATCCTGTACACTTGTGATGTATCAATTCCGTAAATATTGTTGGTCGATTTTAAAATTTTAGGAAAATAGTCACCCAAAAAATGAAAATGTAATTTAGGGTCGGAGGGTAAAATGTAGGGTAGGTCGGGTGACAGGAAACAAGAGTATTTTTTATTTTGGCCTTATCGTCTAAATTACAAGAATCTTGTAAAACGAAAATAAATTATAAATTGCTACCAACTTGGTAATTTTTTAAAATGAAATTAGAAATATCAATCTGTAGTACTTCTTTTGTTCTTTCAAAATTTGGATATATATTAAAATAGCTCCACTACCAAAGGATGCTTCCACATAAACTTCAGCTTTCTTGGCCCAGTGGTTCTTGAGAAGAAGATTTTTAAAGATTTGTTCTATTTATATCTCTATATAAGACTTGGAATTCCCCATTGTGGCCCCACCCTTCCCAAGGGGGTCACTATTTTTTTAATTTAATATCTACACTACCCAAGGATGCTCCCACATAAGTTTCAGCTTTCCTGGCCCAGTGGTTCTTGATAAGAAGATTTTTAAAGATTTGTTTTATATATTTCTATGTAAAACTTGGATTCCTTATTGTGGCCCCGCCCTACCCCTGGGGGTCATGATTTTTACAATTTAATATCTACACTACCCAATGATGCTTCCACATAAGTTTCAGCTTCCCTGGCCCAGTGGTTTCTAAGAAGAAGATTTTTAAAGATTTGTTCTATATATTTCTATGTAAAACTGGATTCCCTATTGTGGCCCCGCCCTACCCTCGGGGGTCATGATTTTAACAATTTAATATCTACACTACCCAAGGATGCTTCCACATAAGTTTCAGCTTTCCTGGCCCAGTGGTTCTTGAGAAGAAGATTTTTAAAGATTTGTTCTATATATTTCTATGTAAAAATAGATTTCCTATTGTGGCCCCGCCCTACCCCCGGGGGTCATGATTTTTACAATTTAATTTCTACACTACCCAAGGATGCTCCCACATAAGTTTCAGCTTTCCTGGCCCAGTGGTTCTTGAGAAGAAGATTTTTTAGTGACCCCACCCTATTTTTGCCTTTTCTTGATTATCTCCCCTTGTAAGGGGACTTGGCCCTTTATTTTAACAATTTAAACTCCCCTTCACCCAAGGATGCTTTGTACCAAGTTTGGTTAAAATTGGCCCATTGGTTCTTGAGAAGAAGTCGAAAATGTGAAAAGTTTACAGACGGACGGACGGACGGACAGACGGCTGGACAGACGGACGGACGACGGACAAAATGTGATGAGAAAAGCTCACTTGAGCCTTCGGCTCAGGTGAGCTAAAAATCAAACATGTAGTTTAAAATAAAATAATTTTGAGACATAGCTTTATATTTTGTGTTAAAATTATTATTATTAAATCTAAAAATTCAGAACATTGCGTATCAACAAATGAACGATGATCGTGTACTACTTTTATCCAATGCTCGCTTCATGTTGCACATCTGTCATAGGAAATTCTGGCCACTGGTTACTAGATGGAAGCGTGACATTAAACACGGAGTGAACTTTAAAAAGTCAAAAAAGGGAAGGCAACAAAGATCATTTAACAGTTTGTGTCCTTCACAAACATATTAAACTTGTCGCAGAATAAAGTTCATATGTATACAACGAACTGAAAATAACCACGGCACATATTTTCGTGAAGCACGGACACTGATTTTATACTTTATTTTGACAAGGTAATAATGAGAATGTAACAGATACATATACTTCATTAATAAAATGAATACAATTAGAAATATATGCCTGTATATATGAATGAAAATGTACAAATAAATATGAATATAAAAACGAGTGCATTTTTTCGTGTTTACGTTTTTAGGTGCGAGATTTTGCGGACAGTCCCATTTCTCCAAGGTCTATCCCACTTTAAAATGAGATAGCCCCGTGGGCTATCTCATTCTCCTGGTTAATTTCGCACACTGGGTTGAAGCGAGGAAGGGGTCCAAAATGGCGTCCTCCCTTGTGTAGTTTTATTATTACGGTATATGATTTTTTAATGAATAATTATTACACGCCGGGAGCAAGTCCCTGTGGCAAGAGCAATTTATAGCCATAATGTACTTCCTTGTTGACAACTTACAATATATACTCTGGCGTAAACACTGGGTTATGTCTAGGAGATATATGACTTTGATTACCAATTATTTCACACTTGTTCCTCCCAAGAATACTGCTTTCAACTGTGACTTTACAAGCTTATAATAATATTAATATAGGCCTAGGCCATACTCTTTTCGACGCCTGCGTCTTTTTGGTCTTGACCTTTGGAAATGTCTTATGACAGTATTTTTGTATTTCGATCCCGATATATACACATGTATTTTTTACTTAGCGCTGGTCATGCATATGAATGTTTAAAAGAATGGTATAAAAAATTATTAACCCCAAACTTAATTTGACTGTAATGTATATGTAGTAGATGTATATTTTATTAAATAATATAATAAATGATAATGAACATGATGAAATAAAATAAATAATAATTATATATATATGATATACAGATATATATTAAGAATAATCTTCTTCAGTAAATAACTGCAGTCTGAACCTTTTTAAGCTCGCCATCAACTGATAAATGATTTAGATTTCAATCTATTGACTCAGGCCACAGGTGCTCGTGGACAGGATTATCACTACCCCCCCCCCCCCCCCCCGTCCTTTCAATATAAAAAAAATTCTGATTATTTTTTTATTCTTCATTTCTAATCTCTGACAAATTTATTGAATCTATATGTTTCTATTCTATTTGAAAAGCACAGAAATAAATCAATCATATGCAATTTCTATTCACAGTCGTTTCACGCATATATATAAGAATTTTCTTATATTAACATTGCAATTGAGTGACTGAGGTTTAAAATACACTTTAAACTCTATATATACGTGAAACAACTGTGAATAGAAATTGCGCATGCATATAATTGATATATTTCTGTGATTTTCAAATAGAAATATATAGATTAAATTGTCAGAGATTAGAAACGAAGAAAAAAAAATCGGATTTTTTTTATTATTGAAATGGGGAGGGTGGGGGGTAGGGATAATCCTGTCCACGAGCACCTGTGACTCTGGCTTCATATTAAAGCCTCTCTAAACATATGTTTTTTTTTTATTATCTACCTATAAGCAGAAGGTTTACAATCCAAGCTTAACATCCAACAGATATAATTCCATAATTTGTATCTTATCCTAAAATCCACAGAAAACAAAAATTCTGTTCTGACCATAGGAACTTTCATGTTCAATTAATTTAGAAGGAGCAGGCAGTCAATGGAGCTAAGATGATTCAGCTTGCTGCTGGTGATGTTGTCCATCCCAAGAAAAGAAAATAGGCCTTAATTGACAATTAGACCGCCCAAGTTTTACATTGAAATATTATGTATATAGGAAATTAAAAAAAAATCTTCCCAAAAACCACTGGACCAGAAAAGCTGAAACTTATGTGGAAGCATCCTGGGGTAGTGTAAAATATAAATTGTTCAAATCATGACCCCCAGGGGCAGAAAGGGGCCATAATATGGATGCATGTTTTACATTGAAATGTATGAGAAACAAGAGGCCCATGGGCCACATGGCTCACCTGAGTAACTTTGGTGATGCATTTCTTTACCAGATTTCCCCTCTTGATATTTTACATATTCTGGCCCGTTCCCCCTCCCCTGTCATGATTATAAGGTATTAGAATTTACACTACTCTAGGTTGTATCATCAATGCAAGTTTGATCCTGGTAGCACGTATAGTTACTTGGGAATGGACCTGCTCCAAAAACTTTAACCTGGTCACTCATCTGCATGGAAAATGTAAGTCAGATCCAGCAATCGAAGCGTGTCTGGTAGTATCAATCCCTAGATGCATGAAAATTTGATCCAAGTAGGGCTGACAGTTACTTGGGAATAAACCTACTCCAAAACCTTTAAACTGGTCACTCATCTGGAAAGTGTAGGTCAGATCCAGCATCCAAATCAAGTCTGGTAGTGTCCATCCCTAGATGCATCATCCATGCAAGTTTGGACCGTGCAGAGCTTATAGTTACTTAGGAATGAACCTGCTCCAAAAAATTAATCTGGTCAGTCATCTAGAAAATGTAGGTCAGATCCAGCATCCCAAGCATGTCTGGTAGTGTCCATTCTTGGATGCATCAGGTAGGCTAAATATACATGTAGTTACTTGGGAATGAACCTACTCCTCAAACTTTAATCAGGACGCTGACACCAAAGCCAGGGGTATAGCATAAGCTCATCTCGACTTCCCCCAAGGTGAAATAATAAAAACTAGAAATATGTCCATAGGACATGAATGCCCTACCGAGGTTTTAACAGTAATGCAACATGAAAATTCGAATCTGTGTATGAAATTTCAGAATATCTTGAATAGTGATGCTGTTGAATTGCTTACATCAGTATCGGCATATAAAGTTTAAACTAATTTAAGAAAAGTGAGGTCAAGGTCAAAGGTAAGGTCAAAGTAAAACAAATGTTGATGCAGTTGAAAAGCTCTCATCAGTATGTGTCAGCATATGTAGTCGAAAAAATATAAATGGTTTCTTTAAAACTGACTTAATCACAAATTGATAAAAGTGAGGTCAAGGTCAATGAAAGGTCAAGGTCAAAAATATTGATGCAGATAAATTGCTTACATCCGTATGTATCAGCATATGAAGTTTGACACAAAGAAGATGGGCGCATTTGGCGTGTGATCTGCAGGAATCATTCGTACGAAACATTTATGGTTTAAATGTGGTTGATTTGGTTGGCTGAACATATAGCTGGTCAGATTTAATTTACAAACACGTCCATGGGTTTTTTCATTTAGCTTGAAAGACTGTGAGATTTTAACATTTATGTCCGTTTTTCCTAGGGAGTATTATAACAGTAATGTTTCACAAAAAATAAATACCTAAATATCTAATGCATAGGTGCATGATACGTGTATGTACATTAAAAATAGAAGATTGGAATTGATTTCGTTCCAGAACCAAAATGAATCAAAATTTATCTAATTCAAAATTTTAATACATCAGTACATACAACGAAACTAACAAAACTAGAAAACTGACCAGTCAGCAAGGGCCCCGCCATGGGGTAGAATTAAAAGGGTGCAGCTTACAGAATGATTAATAAATGTACAAAGAAAAAGCAACAGCAACTGTATTCTTAAAATTTCAACATAATTCCTGAATATTCAAAAACCTGAAAATAATATTCTTGTATTTACATTAGGCAGTAAAGAACAACTTAACATTGAATTTATATTTAAACAATTATGAATCTTGTGTTATATAAAATGCCAGCCTTCAATGAATGCAAATATCATGAAGGCTTGACCTTAACTTCAAACAAACAGCAGTTGCAGACAAAGGTTTTCATTAATCTTAAAGTGACAGATAAAGAGAAGCCTACTAAATTTTCTGCAGCAGGCTAGATAATTAATCCCAAGGGATTAATTGTACCTCTCTCATCATTTTCTTCTAAAGTTACAATAAGGACTTTTTTCAGTATTAATGATAGAACGGAGTTTTTATACAACTACATTAAAAATTAAAAACATTCTTGAATTAATATATTTAAAAAAAAAGGAAAAAAGTGAAAAAAAAGTACCCTGGTAAATCAAAAAATCTTCTTTAATCTATTTCTTTTTTTAGGATTCAATGAAATCATAACTATCAAACAAAAATAAATAATAAAAATTTATATTTAAATCCACATATCAGAGTATTTCATAGAATTCCAAATTGATTTAACTTCAAAACAAACTTCATTTGCAGACAGAGGTGGTAATTAATCTCAAAGTGACAGATAAAGATAATGCTCTGGAATTTCTTCAGGAGGAAAGCTAATTAATCTCATGGGACTCCTAGTAGCATTCAGTTTACTGAATGGGAACATCTTCAGCAGTTATCTCTCTTTGCCAATGCATTCTTATATAAAGTTAAGGAATCTACCCCACCACCCCAGCTCCAAACCAAGGGACATAGAGAACCAAACTTAGCATCAAAATATGTATTTTTGCCTACTGAACTACCGTACCAAATTTGATCTTAATTGGGCAACCATAAAAAAAGTTGCCCGTTCATTCTTATGCATAGTTTAGAAATCTACCCCACCACCCCAGCTCCAAACTAGAAGACATACAGAATCAAACTTAGCATCAAAATATGTCTTTCTGCCTATTAAACTACCATACCAAATTTAAACTTGATTGGGCAACCATAAAAAAAGTTATTAGAAAAAAAACAGAAAATTTGTGGACGGAAGAGTGACAGACGGACAGACAGACAGACGGACGGACGGACAGAGTGATTACTATAGGGCACCCGCAAATCCTTGCGGGGCCCTAATAAATGGTTGTTTGCATGAAAAAAAAAAAAAAATTAACGCCCCATGCAAGGCTCGAACCAAAAAATTTTTCTCGAGTGCACTGAACAGCCAGCCCAACTCACTGAGCTAACACAGCTACACAAACACTGATGATTTTAAAAGGACAAAAAAGCACCACATTCACAAATTAAGATTTTTTGGGGGAAAGTTCAGTTTTTGTGGTCTCTGGGTTTTCTCTCCATTTTTAAAAAGTGTATTCGTTTCTTTGAATTAAAACACACCCAAAAACCGTTACAAAATCATGTAGAGAACACCCAGAGATAGACAAAAATGAGAAAAACTTGTTTAAAAATTTATCATTTTGTACAAAATGTCTTATCTAGCCTATTTTCAAGTTATATTTTAGCAAATCAAAGCTCAATTTCGGGAAAATATTTTCCTTTTCAGTTGCACAGGAACCCGATAAATAAAAAAAAGTTAAAATTTCATGTGACATGTCGATAAAATTTTCACTTTTCAATTACGCCCAGATTCCTGCCGAATGCCAATCAAAAGCGCCCTCCTTCTTTATCAAGTGAGGTCAAGGTCAAAGGAAAGGTCAAGGTAAAATGTTGATGCAGTTGAATAGCTCTCATCAGTATGTATCAGCATATGAAGTTTGATAAAAAAATATCTTTGAATGGTATCTTTAAAACTGAGCTAATCACACTTAAGAAAAGTGAGGTCAAGATCAAAGGAAAGGTCAAGGTAAAAAAATATTAATACAGTTGAATAGTTCTCATCAGTATGTATCAGCCTATGAAGTTTGATGACGCTTTTGTATGGTATCTTTAAAACTGAGCTTATCATCCATTGAAGAAAAGTGAGATCAAACCAAGCACCTCAACCTACGTAAAGTATTTGCACGATGGATACCACTTCTCTTGACACCAGAACAAAAGACAACGCATTTGAAATTTGCTAGAAAACTGTAAAAAATCTATAACCAGAAGTCTCTGTGGAGACTGTAGCTCTACTGGTTTGTACTTATAACAAACGATGAGAAAAAAAGCTAGTGCCATCAGACCTAAACTGTAGAAGGTATAGTGTTTTAAAGGAATTTCACAGACATTTCTAATTTTAGTAACCATGGCAACACTGTTCATCTAAATCAAAAACCGATGCACCATTTTATGTATCTTAGTGTACCCACTTGTGTGCCAAGTAATTCTGAAATCAAACCAAAACTGTAGAAGGAGTAGCGTTTTAAAGGAATTTCAAAGAAAATTCTATTTTTAGTAACCATGGCACACTGTTCATAGCGTTTTAAAAAAATTTACAGACAGACAGCTAGACACACGGACAGCTAGACAGACACCTTACTATCGCATAAGCTCTTCTGGTTTCTGACCAGTAGAGCTAAAAACTGTGACAGGAGAGAATTTGCTGACTTGATAACAGATGATGAAATTTGGATTTACTTTTTTGAGCCGCAAAAAAATTTAACAATATAATGTGGTTAAGAAAGAATAACGAGCGTCCTGTCATTGCAAACAGGTTTCCGAGTGCTAAGAAGATTCTGTATGCTATTTTCTTTACTTCTAGTGGCCCAGTTGTGCAAATTCCAACTCCGCGAGGTAGAGGTATCTCTGGAAAATTTTACAAAAATAATGTACTGAAAAAAATTAAGAAAGTATATGAAAAGACCAAAGGCAGGTTTGAAGAACATAAAACTCATTCATGACAATGCTCCAGCTCATAAGAGTAAAGCAGTTCAGTTTTTTGAAGGATGAAAAGGTTGTTCAGCTCCCACATTCCCCGTATTCTCCCGACCTAAGTCCTTGTGACTTTTTCCTATTTCCTAGACTGAAACAAATGTTATCTGGACATAGCTATACTTCGTGCAGTGCAGTTGGTAGTGCTGTCTATCAGAGCTTAGACGGTAATTAAAGGGAAGACTACCTCAGGGCGGTTTGCAGATTGAAAAAGTGTGTAAATGTAAAAGGGGGTTATTTTGAAGGATTAAACTAGTTTAAATTTTTACGTAAATATATTGTTTTTATTATTTTTTTAGATATACTTGCAGAATTTTCTGATTGTTTCTCGTAATATAGAATGCATGACAATGTAAACCATGCATAAAATCTTTATTTTCTTGAGGAAGTAAAGATATCATAATTCAAATTCAACATATAATGTGCCAAAATAATTTTTTTAAATTTTTTATTTTCAGAATATCAATATTCTCTAGGCAGAATTTTACAATTTTTTTTTTATTTTGATTGATTTCCAAATTAAGAAGCACAGAAATGCACAGAGTACAAAAAAATGGCACCATATTTTTGCCAATCATCATCGTATAAGCATCAACAAAAATCCCACTTTTCACATCCTCATTTGATGCAGATTTGACACACACTACTTGCCCCCATCTTAGTTCTTTTTTTTTTTTTGAGCAGGAGTAGTTTCCCTTGACAGAACTCTTCAGTGTCCATTTTATCTAACAATAACAAATCAGACATTGAGTTCCACTTTTCCTCCTGCCTTAAGTTTCTCTGCGTATTTCTTCAGGTTTGGTTCTACCTCCATTTCTATGAACTTTGTTACCTGCAAAATAAGAAGATTAAAAATGAATATACCTGTTAAAAAATCAAATATATAAAACATTTGAACAGCATAGGGGATTTGTTATACATTTGTTGCTGCAATAATTTCTTATCTAATAAATGTGCCAAATAAATTCTCAATATATCTACAAAAAAAAATTCATCTAATGGTTAATTTTTTTCCCCTTAGCATCCTTAAGGTTAGATGATAAAAACCTTTGTTAAAGAAAATGAAAATTACACGAGTCATGCTTATATGAGTAAAATAAACAAGTTTTACTGCGTAGTTTTTAATTTTTCATTCAAAGTTTCACAATAACAGGATTGAAGTGATAAAACAAAATTGTAGTACTACAGATTAACCTCCTTCCCCGCAGTCAAGCATTTTAATGCATATATACCATTTCCTATTTCTAATGCAAAATCATGCATATACCGTTTCCCTTCAATCAGGCACATTTCATGCACTTTCAAAAGTAAATTTAATCTTAAATTTATTATTTACGCATAATTTTAGAGAAACTTGTACCTCTCTAAAAAGTGCTTACGGGGAAAATGTAATATATTTCCAGGACGTGTACATTAAGTGTATGTTGCGTCACAGTTCAGTAAGTTGTAAAGAGTTAATAAGAATGGTTGCAGAAAGTAGAAATTTGATCATCAATAAGCTGGTTTTAGTGGTTTACAATATCTTAACATTTTTTAACTTTATTTATTTACATCATTTGAAACAAAAAGGCCCAAAAATATATACCAATCCAGCTATCTATTTGTTTTTGCTTGGATCACCTGTCCTTAATAGTACTGCACTTTGTTACATTAGGGCTATAAGTACTTTTCTCTGTTTGGTATTCCAGTAAGGGGTGGCATTCTCATTGCTACATAATTAACGTCTCTCAAATGGTGACCTAGATTCTCATATGGAATATAGGGAGATATCAAACAGTATTCAAAATCAAAAGTCTATAAAACAATATAAAATAGGAGCATAGCAAACACAGACTTCCAAAACATCAGAGGTGGGATCAAGTGCCATGGACGAGTGAATAAAGTGGCTAAGAATAAAGTGGTTAAGAAATTAATAACATCAGCAACAAGAATGAACCAATCCGTGACAGACTGATCTATTGTCCTGGTATAACAGGTACTAGTCTTAGATACCACAGCATCTCAAAACCCACCTGACTTCATCTCAAAACCCACCGGACTTCATCTCAAAACCCACCGGACTTCATCTTAAAACCCACCTGTCTTGATCTATTGACCTGATATAATCAGTACTAGTCACCACAGTACTAGTTTAAGATACACAGTGTCTCAAACCCACCTGAGCTGGAGCTCGTCCTGTGAAGGTTTTTGGATCCAGAAGAGAATCCAGTTCTCCATGGATTGGCTTAAAATAGTCGGATTTCCTGATCCGTTCCGTGAGGTCATTATCACCACCTTCTTGTTTTACAACACGCCCCGCCTCCTGAGACAAAACACGGATCTGTTCATGACATTCCTGAAAGGGAAGAAAGTTTTATAAAATTCTCCCACATATAATTTGATACAGTAATTACAAAAACACGTTTCAAAGATGATTTTGGTTGTAATGACTTTCAGAGAGAAAAATAAGATGCTATTTAAATATTATATTTATTTGCAAGAACTGTCTTGTGGCGTTAGTACGTGAGGCAATCTATTTGTGCCAAAAAAAATTATTTTCCTTTAAATATTTCTTATTAAAAATTATAAACAACACTGGCAGAATCTGTGAAAATTTTAATTGGCTTATAAATGCCAAAAAATTTTCTTGCCAAAAATAAGGTGTCTCTAAAATTTCAAAATTTATAGATCTTTGAATACTTGTTTTTCAAACATGTAAGCAATCATCCATTGTATTATTCACTAGCCTACTAAAAAAATTGTAATTACGCATGTAATTCCTGATTTAAAAACTTCTTGAATATCATGAAAATGTTATGTTAAAAACTGTTGCACAGTTATAATATCAGCCAGGTATTCAAGCATTCTTTTCTTTCCAGCAAGAAAGAATTTCCCAACTTGAAGGCATGTATTTAACAAGAGGCCATTGGGTTACAATGCTGACCTGGCTCTGCTGTTCTTCATCAGCAGATTTTTTTCCTGTTATATATTCCTATGTTAAACTTTGATTGCCCCATGTTTCCCCACCCTACCCCTGGGGGTCATGATCTTAACAAATCCGAATTAAGCTAAGGTGAGCTAAAAATACTTAAATATAGAATTGTTAACAATATTTCAACAAAATCCGAAATTCAACTCACTCAAAAAATTATTTTTTTTACGACTTCAAGGTTTTAATTCACTGGATTTGTTTGCAACCAATGTAGGAATACACAAAGAATGTAGTGATTTGGTGAATCCGCCTTGATATTCCGCTAACGACAATGATTCATCTCGCTTCGCGAGCCGACTCAATAACAATGTCTACCTGTCTGTTTCTTCCGGCTTTAACCATCGCCATGATGATGTTCTCTGTAGCCATGAAAGGTAACTCCTGGTTGACTCTTCTCTCAATGACCTGGAAATAACAGTTTGTAAGGCCATACAAAGTTAATTACTTGGTTCTCAGGCCTTTTTTCAAGAAATATGATGAGGGAGGGAAGCATTTTTTTTTCCTTTTTTATTGCCCCCAAAACATGATGAGGCAGCTTTTTACATTGTATAAAACCTCATAAAATGATGAGGGAGGTGATTTGGTGTTTATATTTTATTGATTTAGCAATAAAAAGGGTCAATGAGGCACCCTTGGAAGAGATGAGGGAGGGCCTGAGAACCAAGAAATAAATGTTTTTTGCCTTAGTTTTAAAGGGGAAAATAAATACATTGCAATAAAATAGTGCAGAAACAATTTTAAAAAAATCCTTTATAAGGGACTTCAAATCCAGCAAATTACTTTCTTTATTACTGCAGTTTATCAGCAATGCAAACAGAAAATTTATAAAGGGTAGTCATGAGGAAGGTATATGCATTAAATCCTAAAAAATTGAGAACCATATGATAAGTCCTCTAACTAATAAATAATATTCTACAGATACAATTTTATTCCCTTTAAAATTCCATAAAATACTAGATATTGCATTACATTTTACATCAAAAAATATTTCTTCCCCCTTTGTTCCATAAAATACTGGGTATCGTGTTATTTTTATGTCTGGATATATTTTTTTTACCTCTGTAATATTCTATTGACAACTGTTTTTATTGTCATACTACCTTTGGATATACCACTATCCCCTCTGCAATATTCTGTAGCGTACTAAGGATTATGTCTGCTGTTAAAAATGCCTCTGGCAAACTGATCCGTCTATAAAAAAA